CTGACTGCGGGCGGGGCGACCGGGGAGCGAGGAGGAGAGAAGAAGAAGGTAAAGGGAGAAGAGAAGGAAAGGGAAGGGAGAAGAGAAAAGGAAGAGGAACAGGAAAAGAAAGAAAAGGAAAAGTAGAGGAGGAGAAGGAAACGAGGAGAGGGAAACGAAGAGAAGGAGAGAGAAACAAGAAAGAGGGAAATGAGAAGGAAAGGGAAGGGAAAAGGAGAGGAAAATTAAAGGAAAGGGAGATGGAAACAGAGGAAAGGGAAACGGAAAGGGGAAAGAGAAAAGGGAAGGAAAAGGGAAATACTGAAACTGGGGGAAAGGGAAACAGGAAGAGAAGGGGAAAAGGAAAGAAGAAAGGGAAAGGGGAAAAGGAAGAGGATAGGGAAAGGAAAGGTCACAAGTGAAGAGGAAAGAGGAAAGAGAAAAGGAGAGGAAAATGAAAGGAAAGAGAGGAAAAGAGAAAGGACTGGGAAGGGGATGGGAAAGGGGAAAGGGAAAAAAAAAGAGGAAAGGGAAAAGGAAAGAGAAAAAGGGAAAGGGGGAAGGAGAGGAGAGGGAAAGGGAAAGGAAGGTTTGCCTGTAGCACAACAAATCTGCACAGCCCTGCACCCCAGATCAGCCTGGTCCACCTTGGCCCAGGCTGGGGACAAGTGCCCTGGTGCTGCCCAGGTGCTGGAGGAGGACAAGCAGAAGGTGACCTGCCTGCCAGCACAGGGACACCATCACACCCCCACGTCGCTGGGCGCAGGCTCCTGGGACCTGCCTGCCCGCATCCCCCAAAGCAGCTCGCTTGGGCATAGAGGGGCTGGAGGCCATCCTGCGCCTCCCTCTCCCACACCTCTTACTGGGGAGAGCCCACCTCCCTCGCTCTGGGAGGCGATAGGGGTGGGAGGCTGAGCTGGGCACAGGTTGTTTCCCCGTGCTCTGTCCCGGGGCCTGGCCAGGCTGATCTGGGGTGTGAGACTGCCCAGCTTTGTCTCAGGGCTGGCAGGGAGGGGGCAGGACTGGGGGAGCGCAGCAGCTGGGGGCTAACCCTGCCTCTTTTCTCTGCCAGGGGCCCGTGTTGGAAGGAGATCTAAGATGAAGTTATGGGATGTTGTGGCTGTCTGCGTGGTGCTGCTCAACACGGTCTCCACCTTGCCCCTGCCCACCGGTAAGACGCCTCCCAAGGGGCCCCCTTCAGTGGTAGAGGGGCCTGAAGACGATCTCTCCCCCATCAGCCTGCTGCCTCCCTATGCTGTGCACAGTGACTGTAAGAAACATTCCCCTTTGTAGCCACTGCTGTCTGTCTTGCTAAACCCGCTCCCCTTTACTCAGGCATCAGGGTGAGGAAAGGACCACTCCCCCTTTCTGCCCCCACTTCTCCCCCAGGCAGGGTCACTGGCTCTGGTCTGGCTCCAGCAGCTCCAAACCAAGTCATCCTCCAAAGCTTGGGGTTGGCAATTGCAGTGGCAATGCCCTCCCTTCCCCGCCACCTCCAGCCCTACCTTTCTGGCAGTCATAAGATCCTTTTGGTTGAAAAACCTGGAAAGATGGGAAAGTTAGTTGTATGCAGAAGAGCCAAGAGGAGGATCAGGTACATACACCTCGCAGTGCAGGCACTGAAACTCCTTCCACACCGCTCAACCTCCTCTCCCTGCTCAGACCTGCCAATGCAATTATTCACTGTCTGTAGTGGGCACAAGTCCTGGTGGAGATTGGGCTCCATGGTGGGAGGCACTGTACACATCCTGGAGTGCTGCTGAGTTTCATTAAATCCTCCTTGGATCCTGATCCCGAAATTAGTGTGTCCGCATGGAAATTTACAGAAGCGTAGCAGTGGCAGGGTTAGGAGCTTGATGCAGAGCGATCCACATGAACCAGCTCACAGTAAGACAGCTTACAATCCAAATGACAGATAATAATAATGCCTTGCTAATAATAGGTCTCCTACAATAGCAGATACAGGATTTTCACAGTGTATGTGAGCGTTACGCTAACTCTGGTGGCTTTTTGAAGTGAGAATTAATATGACTCAGTAAGAAGTGGCAAAATACTCACATGAATTGTGGAGATGTTCACTTAGCAAAGGCACAGATGCAGCTTGGAGGTTGCTCCCTTTGCCCTTGCTCCACCCTCTCTGTTTAGCTCTTTGCGGGATGCAGGCAGTATCCAGTAATTGGGATTCATTTTTATCTCCTTATCTGGAGGCATGTCCTTTCCCTGTGCCTGCCACAGCGCCAGCCACAGGCAGCCCCGCTCTGGTTTCTCTGGGAGCAGCCAGGCTAACACAGCATGGAGGCACTGAGCAGGGAATCGTGTGCCGTGAATCCCCAACGCCCATCTCCTCTTCCACACACACATCTATGTCCTTCCCCATTTAGTCTTCTCTCTTTCCTTTTCTTGCTTGTGTTTCCCCCCTGCTGGAATCTTGCCTAGGCTGCCGCCTCCGCGTGTCCCAGCCTGGGCTCCTGCTGCTTGCAGACCGGCAGCCCCTGACGTCCTTTCAGCCCCTCCATGCAGGGAGGTCGGCCAAAAGTGCTTCCTCCCAGGGCTCCAGCCTGCCAGGGCTGCGAGGCCGTCACATGTGGTGATCTCCTCCATGGCGAGCTGCGTGGTGGGATAGGTACTGTCCTACAAAAGGCAGTGATCAGCTTTTCACACCACTGTGCTGGTCCCCTCTGCACAGGCTTGCTGCAGTGCCAGTGGCAAGAAGAGCATTGGGGGAAAAGTGGTGCCAGTCAGTTTGTAGCTCTGGCAGAAGCTGCAGGGTGGGAGAGCATTAATGCTCCATCTTTCCAGGGTGATGGTATTTGTACAATGCCTGCTTTTATCTTGAAACTTACTTCTGGGAATATGGTTCTTGGTGAGATGGTTTCTCCGCAGCAGCTCCAGGGGACAGGCAGCAGTAGTGGTCTTGTCTGTTCCTAGTGTCCAAAACTTCTCATTGTTGCCTCTTTTTTTCCTGTGGATTGGGTAAACAAGAAGTGGGAAGAAAGACAACCTGCATTTTACCTATAGTATCAATAGACAGTCTCTTCCAGATATCTCTGTTTCCAGGGTACAGACGTAGGCTTTGCCAAGCAGAGCTGGGTTGCAGGTTATTGCCCAGGATAGTCATTTGAGAAAGGACTGATAGTTTGATCTCAATCTCTTAACTCTGCGGATCACAAATAGGTGGCCCTGGCTGCAAGGGGAAAGTAAGCAGTGCTGTTCTTCACAACAGAAATTGGGGAAAACCCAGGGAGTTCTTGTGGTCTTTGCATGGCAGCAGTTTACGCAGCACCCATGCCCAAAACTCAGAAACTCTCCACTATGTTGCTAAGTCGGATGAGTCAAGGGAGACCTGCAGAAAGGTGGCTGTAAGAGGGCAGTGAAATACTTTGATCCACTTTTATGCCTTTTTTAGTTGATTTAGAAGTGTGTGGTGTCTGGAGAGCAGTCTGCAAACACAGAGCCCGTGAGGCTGATCCTATCCGGGCACATCGCTGCCTTCCCATCGCAGCAGCGCATTGTTTGAGTCACCACCATCAGTGTCTTTGACATATTTGTTTCTCTCCACTTACCATTTGGTGGCACACACACTTCAACACACAAAAGACATACAACGATGTACACAAGAGGAGTCACATCTACACCATGTAGACTTCCCTCTGCTCTTTGAGGTTTCTCTTGCAAGCAGAGGGCAGTGTGCCACGAGCATGCAGGCAGGCTTGCAGCTCCCCGGGTCATCTGCTGGTGGACCTGCTGTGTATTAATATCTCTCTGGATACTGTTGGTCAGCTGCTTTGCCGAGGGCCTTTGCAGGAGGTAGCTCACAAAGCGGTGGGAGCGCTGTCATCACTCACATTGGCTCATCTTCATAGGGCAGTGTGTGGGCACTGAGCAGGACTGGGTGCTGTGTGCGTTCAAAGAGGGGTGCACTGCTCTCCCCTAAAGCAATCCCTGTGCAGGCTGGGTGGGGAGTAGCAGTTGCACTCCAAGGTGTGCATTGCTCTTACTCCAGAGAGGTCGGGTCTCCCATGCACCGCTTGCAGCAGGGGTTAGCAGGGTTTTGAGATCAAGTCCTGCTCCTAAGGGCAGGCCAAACACCTTGCTGGAGCACAGATCTGTTTTCCCAGGCCCCTGACACCTTTTTGTGTTCTCATTTGATGGGATTGCTTTCTCTTCAAAGTGCTCTGAGGTCACCTGATGTTACCCCCTCCCTTTCAGATTGGGTCGAAGCCTTCCTTCGTTGCAGCCTACAGGCAAGGTCCTAACCCCCTGAACTGATCAGGTGTAATGTGCTGACCTTTGCTGTTCAGGGCGGTAATTAGAGATGGCAGCGGGTGTTGGCAATCGCAGTCTTCTGCATTTTTTAGTGGACTGGAGGCTAGAGTGAGACTAGCCTCCATAAATGCAGTACATTTGAGATGAACCCAGTGTTTATAGGTGTTTTAGGCATCGGTGTTCATGGGATAGCTTATTTCACACAAAGAAGAGCACCTGTAGAGTTTGTAAGGTTAGAAAACCCTTTCTTTGTTTCCCTCATGCTACAGTCTGCTGGGGGAAGGGCATGATTAGCTTAAATAGCAACTGCGAACAGAACAAATATAAACCAAATTACTATAAACTAAATACTAAGTCAGCAGCTTCAGAAGCATGACAGCACAGAGGGAGCCAAACACTTGGTTTGACTTATACGCAGTTCCCAGCGAATACATTTTGTAACTGCTTGCTTCTGTGTGGCCCTAATCAACATGTACGTGAGGACTAGAGTATCCTAAGATCCAGGATATGATATATAGTCTCTTGATCAAGTGAGCATCTTTAGTAAGAACTAGTGGTAAGCATGTAGTGTTAAATGAAAAATCTCACCATGGGCTTTTCCCTCCTAACAGGAGGAAAAGGTGTTTTTTTGCATTGTAACATCTGAGTTACTTTATGGCCACTGGATGGTCATTTGTTGTTGGAGCTCCTTTGGTATGTTTGTTATGCTTTAACACACCATGGTATGTGTGCATTAGAAATTCTTCATACCCCTGCTGAGGGATATGTAATGTTAAGTTACTGCATTTATCTGCAACATTATAAAAAAATATGGAAAGTATCTAGAATAAACAGGGATATTGTAGGACTCTTTAAGGCAAAAACAGTATTAAACTATACTTCCAACTGAATACATTTCCTTCCCTACAATATTTATTAGGCACATTCAGTGTTGCAAACCAGAACTCTCATGTTTGTGTCCAGGCTTTCCTGCTCAACGGTTTTATGGTGTGGCATATGTCCTTTGGTCTAAGATGCCCAGAAGCTACAGAGGTAACCTGCCCATGCACAGTAAATTCAATGCATTGGAGAGGTATCTGCCACACTGAGCAGGTGCCACACTGCGTCATTTGATCTGTGTGTATCCAGTACAGCCGGTGCATCCAGCCAGTGTCAGACCGAGTGTGCCTGTGTCCCTGGGCCAGCACATATATCATAGAATCATAGAATAGTTTGGGTTGGAAGGGACCTTTAAAGGTCATCTAGTCCAACCCCCCTGCTGTGGGCAGGGACATCTTCAACTAGATCAGGTTATATAGTAAAGTTTGTTTGCATGAGCATGCCCAGGTTATCTAGACATTTAGAAATCTCAAGCACTCATGTTTGCCCATTTGTGGGCAAAATTCTAGAAAAAGAAGGAACAGGACACAGCTGGTTAAATCCAGATGCATGTAGCCCTAGAAGCTCATTTCTCTGCAGTCTCAGGTGTAAATACTGAATATACTCCTGTGAAGGGTGTTCTGGGACTTAAGGAGGAAAGGGCTGAAATGCAAGACAATATGGTTTTATTCTCATTTTAAGAGTTATCCTTTGTTTAAAGTTTTATGTCTTTGCTGCTTTTCAATTTAGGGATCTGAAAAATTTCCCAGTGGAAGTGTGGATCCTTTTAGATGTTTTGCAGGTGTGGGTTGCTAGATAACATACCTGAACATGCTTTTCTTGGTCACCTTTCATAGGCCTCTTCAATATATTTTAGAAATCCCTGTATTCAGGGTCTGCAGATGACAAGCTGCAAAACCCTTCCTGAAAGGCTGAAGAATTCAGCTGTGTAGTGACTATGAATTGATGGGGGAGGCATTAGTTGTCCACTAGATGAGGATCCTCAGATTGATAGGTTGTAATGTCTTTGTAAATTATACTGTTCCTGATTAGGACTGCATAAAGTAGGTTTAAAATACTTAAAGTTACAGAGGCTGAGAGAAGCCATTGGGGCCATCAAGTCCCATCCCCTCAACTGGTCAGGGA